TTAGACACCAAACTGCCCAAAGAAATTCATGTGGCAAGAATACACCTGTTACAGGCTGCTGTGATTCTATGATGATCAAGAGAGAGAGAAAAGTGACTGAGGGTCACTGTGTGCTAGGCAGTGTAGGAGGGGCTAGGAATTTAAGTGAACTTTATTGCCTACTCACAAGGAGTTCATAATGAATTAGAGGAGACAGAAGATACATACATTTAAAGCTACAGATGCTTATACAGAAGCTGAACTGCAAGTGTGTGCAGGGTGTAGCACTAGTATAGGGCTAGGAATCTTCTGCAGAGAGGAGCTCTGCTTGAAGATGCTCCCCAGATCACTGGTGTGGGAGGTGCAGATGGGCACAAGGAAGAGTGAGAGCAAGGAGCCACAGTGGGCATCTGCCCAGTCTGCTGAGGACCTGCCATCATTTTGTGGGGACAAAGGATTTGTTGGCAGTGCAGAGGACAGAGAAGAAAAGAACGTGGTGGTAAGTGAGAGATAAAGCCACAGAGATAGGCTGTGGGCCAGGGGCGGTCCTTGAAGCACTCTGAACCATGTTTAGAAACATCAGCCAAGCAGCTGGAGTGGAAGATGAGCAGACAGAAGAATGAGGTCGTGTAAAGGGGTAGAATATAGAGAATGAGGTCCTGGGCTCTGCTGCCCATATCTCATGGTCTGCTACCCAGGGCCACCACCTACACCGACATCCCACATACACACCCTCTTCAGTCTGGATTCTCCAGGGAACTGCGGACCTGTGCTACCTCACTTATGACCTCATGCCTCACCCATTTATTCCCTGGAGCCAGAACTTTCCCTCTTCCTTGGAGACAGTCCAGTTTCCATTAGCTCCAACCTGACTGCCTCTCCCTCTTGCCAAGCCCACTGCCCTAGTTAAGTGACCATCACTTCTCCTCTATTTCCTGTTTTTTTTTTTTTTTGTGCCTCTAGCCTTTATTTGTCAGGCCATCTTCTAATGAGTGAGTCTTTTAAAATTCATTCTTACCATCTTTACTTAATTTTCCTGTTTTTTTTTTTTTTTTTGTGCCTCTAGCCTTTATTTGTCAGGCCATCTTCTAATGAGTGAGTCTTTTAAAATTCATTCTTACCATCTTTACTTAAAACTCCAGAAATTCTCTCTGCCTTTAGGTCCAAACAAACACCATAAGATGGCTTCACCTGCCCATGAGGAACATCGGTCTCTCAGGCTATGATCACACTGCCATTCCCACCTGCTGTTTGCTAGCTGTGTCTCTGCCCAGAGCACCCAATATCACCCACTGTCAGATCCCCTCCCTGGGAGTACTTGGCAGCCTTTTCTCCACATGGTTAACTAGAAAGACCCAACCTAGATACCACTGCTTGACCTGACCTTCGTTATCTGTGGCAACGGCTCTCCTCTGAGCAGGCTCTCCCTTCAAAGATACATCCCAAGTGACTTGGAAATTGCCTCCTGTTTGTTCCTTCCCCCATTACACCCACATCCCTCTGTTATGTCCCCCCAAAGCCTCTTATGGTCAGAGGTAGCTAAATCTGAAATGTTTGAGGCTGGGATTAAGAGCATGTGATTACTAAATCACTACACATGAGTGAGTGGTTCAGCACAACCCTAACTAATCCTGGTATTCTAGATGAAAGAGGCAGTAAGATGGGTAACGCTCGGCTGGGGATTTAGCTCAGTGGTTCCGCCGCCTGCCTTGCAAGCACAAGGACCCGAGTTCCATCCCCGGTACCAAAAAAAAAAAAAAAAAAAAAAAAGATGGGTAATGCTCCCTTGTTGCCTTTGCTATCTTGTGCATGCCATGTTGTTTCTCCTATGTGATGACTGTCTGCTGTCTACCCTGCCTTGGAGCCAGCCAATTACAGACTGAAACCTCTATGAACTGTAAGCCAAATAAACCCCTACCCCTCTAACTTTGGGTGTTGGGTATTTTGTCTCAGCAATGAGAGAAAAGCAATTAACAACCCTCTGTTTCCATCTTGGACATAAATTCCCCAATTCCAGGACTCATGGGCATTCTATTTTCTACCACCCAACTCCTTGTCCAGGAATACACACAGCCTGACAAGGTCCACAGTCAGAGTCCTGGGGCCGTGTGCATTTGAGAGTCATGCAGAGGAAGAGAAAGATATCAGAGAGCCTAAGCAAGGACAACAAGCTGAGAATCAAGACAGCACTGGCTGTGGGGCAAGAAGAGAGGGTCACTGGAAACACCACCAGGTCAACAGAAGCAGAGGCACATGCTGAGCTTGGCACTTGGCAGCAGGGCTTTGGGAAAATATGGGGCAGGAGTGTAGGGCCCAGCTGGACAGCTGAGTGGCAGGTGAGTTAGAACACGGGAGAAGAAGAACACACACAGGTACAGAGCGGCCGAGGAATGTGACATCTGGGGATGGAGGGTGTCAAAGACAAAGGAATATTTGTGCATGCATATGTGTGCATGTGCATATGAGTGCGTGAATGCACTTGTGTTACAATTCCTTTTTCAAACATCTCAACTGTAATCCTGAATGGCAAAGAAAGGCAACAATGAGACTAGATTCAGGCAATGATAAGCATTTATCAAATGAAAGATGTACATAACAAGAGAATGACTACATTTATTCAGGAGATATAGATTGCAAAAATATAGATTTTATCAAAATATAAATTTTTAAAAGTAAACTCTAGTTTTGAAGGGGACCGTTTGGCTCATAGATAAAAATGTAAGGAGCACCTGGAATCACTCTTCCCATTCTTTATGCCCTAGTGCAACGTCACTGGGGACAAAGTCTCAATGTCCTCTAAGATCCACTAATGGCATGCTTTCATGTAAATAACTTAGGCTTTCCATCTATTGGTTACTGCCACAAAGCCAGATGGGACCTGGAACACACTGAGGAAGGGACACTTTGGGAAAAAAATACAGACATCTGAGATATAGGAATCTCACCCAACAAAGCAAAGTGCAAGTGAACCAAAACGGCCGTAGTTTTCCTCAGATGTAGGTTTTTTAAAGTCTATCACACCTTTCATGTTGCCATGGTATTAATTTCACTTAACAGTTTAGAGAAAACATTGAAGAAAACACATTTAAAACATTAAATTACTTTCAGGGGACATATGCTTCCTATGCAATTAACAATACCTTCAGCACCAATAAGCTCTAATTTTGAAGACATTCATCTGCAAACATTCATCAGTTGATAGCAAATTCAATTTCTACTTGGCTTCTACTTTTCACACATGTAATTCTCCAAGGCTATACACTACACAGTATCTCAAAACTACTAATTTATTTACTATGAAAGCAGATTACATTCCTAGAAAATATCTGTTCAATAAATATACAGACATATAAGTCAAATCAAAATCGTATGAAAGAGCAATTTTCTTAGGCAGGACTGCATTTCTGACCAAGCACTTGATCTCAAATCTTTCAGAGAAATGACTGTAAAATTCTCTTTATAGTCGAATTACAAGTAATATTTCAGAAGAAGTCAAGGTTTCCAAAATTGCATATATCGAAAATCATATGAATTTACAATATACTGCCTACAGAGATCACAAAGACCTGGCAAGATGTACTCAAGGCAGCAGGGCGGTGGGTATAGCTTTTCAGCATGCAAGCCACCCACAGGTTACTGGTTTGGGACAGTAGCTCCCCACGCTGCATGGCAACAACCAAAGAAAGATGCTCATACCTTTCCAAATGTCCTTGGGGGAATACTGTCCAGCTGAAAGCCATCAAGCCTCCTATTTATAGAAGCAACTCTGGACCAAACAAAAGGATGAGGCCATGTTTAAGTGACTGGATACTGAGTGCCACGGCTCAAACCCAAGCCTCCAGGAAACTGGAGGCACTGAGAATGCAGTGGAGAATGTCAGAGTAGTGAACATCCTTTAACCTGATGTTCAGTTTGGGCTACTCTTCCTACTTTAGGTAATTTGTTTCATCAAATGCTTTTTAGCTGGGTGAGGTGGTGCATGCCTGTAACTCCAGCACCTTAGGAGGCTGAGGCAGGAGGACTGCAAATTGGAGCCCAGCGAAGGCAACTTAGTGAGACCCTATCTCAAAATAACAACTGAAAAAGGGCCAGGGTATGCAGCTAAGTGGGAAGCTCCTGGTGTCAATTCTCAGCACTGCAAAAAACAAAACAAAAAATCCTTTCTAGGGCTGGGGATTTAGTTCAGTGGTTCTGCCGCCTGCCTTGCAAGCACAAGACCTGAGTTCGATTTCCAGTACCAAAAATTTAAAAATCCTTTCTAATCACAAACTAGTCATCATTTTAACTCCTTGCTGATTCTTCGTGCCATTTCCTCACTTCCTGCCTAATCTAAATCTTGGATCTGCCGCTTGTTGCATTCCATGCCTGTGACCTCTGCTCCCTGAGGACAGGAGAGAGGGATCATCAGGAACCAGAGCTCCAACTGTGCGACCAGGGTGGACAGACAAGCATTTTACATCATCGTCACTTCCGGCTTCATTCACTCACATTCTCTCCCTGTTGGGCAGGTGGCCTCTTCTGTGTCACGGAGAAAACAGAGCCCTCCGCCTCCACCAACTAACCTATCTGAGTCACTTGACTTGCCCACTCAGCTGCAAAGCATGAGAAAGCATTTCTCTCTCTCCCTCAAGCCTTTCCTTGTTCTTTTTATCTTATTGAATCTGCAGAATTAGACTGAAGAGAAGCAATGCACAGCAAGAGCAAGATTTTTGATAAATAGTTCATTTCTGTTCTTTGTTATTTAAGTCTTTCTCACAATTCAGTATTGAACTATATAAAACATTTTCCCAGAATTAATTTTTTTTTAAATGCCATCATATGGAAAAAAAATTAAAAGGTTAAAAAAAATCCTTATTTCAGTAACCCTGATCAGTGTCATTTAATTTTAACATTTTAGTTTACTGAGTGATGAATGCTGAAACAGTGGAGTTATTCATCTAAAGGTAATACCTCTATACTTGCAAGTTTGACTTGGAATTCAGTAGGAAGCTTAAGGGCGTGAAAGAGGCCTACAGGCTTACCCGGATGTAGGCATCCTGGTGGTGCTTGGCAAAGTACAGCATGTTGTCCAGAGCCAACATTCCAGGAGGGGTCTGGGTGAAGTCCATGGCAGGGTTGACATGATTCTGGAGTGAAAACAAAAGGTTCTGTGAGGCTAGTTCTTCAACAGACTTCACCCATCCTCAGGGCATTGGTTTCCTCCTGAAGATAGAAATACTACAAAGCAAACTGCAGATAACTTAATTCTGATGACCCTTTCTGTTTCTGTGGAAACCACCCAGGTCTGAGAGAGGGACATCTTTCAGCCCCATAGGTTCAGCGAAATCATCTCTGGGGAGTCCCAGAGCTTAGTAAAGTAGGATAATTCTTGGACATATCACACTGCGAAATCATGAAGATAACAGAAATTAATTGTATTTCTGGCGCCTTGATGAAATGAAACTGACAGCATCTGGCAAGAGAGACTGGGATGAAGCCACGCCTCTGCCATTTGTCTGTGACACAGGCTCCAGGACATCTGTCTACCCCATGCCTTCCTTATCCTCACATGTGAGGTGAAGTATGGCCTTGCCTGTTGATAGAGGAGTTGAGAACTTTTGCAGGTTACGCCACCCACAGCCTCTAAGAAAAGACAGTGGACACAATTCAGATGTCCACAGGGTCCTAACATCTCCCTGCCGTCAGGGGCATGTCTACCATCACAGTCCCTACACATGGCACAACGGAATATATGACATGTGTCTCACTGGTAACAAGCTTGGCAGAACTCAATTCTCTTTGTGTTTGAGATCATCCACTGCACCCCACGGGGACCCTCATTCAGACAGCAAACCCCACTCCACCATTTACTGCTGAAAATGAGCACCAAAAGCTACCCTGAAAATGCAAATCTAAATGGTGAATGATTAAAGGAAAGGTGTATTTTTTCTTTTCACATCAAACAGATGAAAAGACAGTTAAAGACAAATTGTTGTTGCTATATAGAAATGCTACTGATTTTCCACATGTTGGTTTTGTATCCTTCAACCTTACTGAATTCACTTAGTACTTCTCTGTTTGGACAAAGCTGCTACAATTTTCTATACATAAAATCATGTCATCTGCAAACAGGGACAACTTGACTTCCTTCATCCCAATTTGTGTAACTTTGATTTCTTTCTCTTGCTGAATACCTCTGGCTAATGCTTTGAGTAGCACACTGAATAGAAGCTGTGAAAATAGGCACCTCATGCCACCACAAAAATGGCACTCATGGGATAACACAGTTGGTAATTAGCTAGATTTAACTCTCCCACAATGTACACATCCTTCAAAACACCATCTTGCACAAGATAAAAATCACACTAGGTTATCTGTCAATAAAAAACATGTTTTTAATAGATAAATATTCTGAGTATTAAAGCAACCCGTTTTTACCTCATGATCCAGACAATGACATGAAATGACACAGTTTCATTGTGATTCAGAATATTTTTTAATACATACCTTGCATCTCTGATTTGTTAGGGAAATTTTGGCTAACTGCAATTTTTTTTTTCTAATTCTAGTGCAGGAAGACTTTTTCATTCACTTCTACAAGGTTCAAACCACCCATACTTTTCTATAGTATTCAAGAGTACATCTAAACTATCGTTCCCAAGCTTATTTGAAATTTTGTTTAAAAGCCAATAAATAACACATGCATCATGAAAGACTGTGCTGCCACAGAGCCACAGCTCTGGGTTCAAGAATCCCCCTGTTCGTCACATGTGTCCAACCTGCATCACTGTGATGATTTCAGTATTTTATCCCAATTCATTTGTTAAAATGTTGGGATGTTTTAAAAATACCGAAGTACTACTACCAATGATAAAAAAAATCTCATAAAATAAATATAATTGTAACAAAGAATGAAAACTATTCAATATGTCAAATGCAGGGCAGTTCCATCTTAGTGTGATATTTAAGAGAGGAAGAGGGTCCCAGCTCTTATTCACTAGTGGATAAAAGGTAGAATAAAAGACTGGAAATAAAGAACATGATATTTAGTCTAAGGAATAACTTATATGTAAAGATTTTCTATTTTAGTTATTTAAGAATACTGGAAATTCTTTCTTACACATAAATTGATTTCTCTGATACATCAGATTTTCATGAATTTAAGTAAAAACTTTGTGGGCTGGGGATTTAACTCAGTGATTCCACTGCCTGCCTCACAAGTGAAAGGTCCCAAGTTCGATCTCTGATACAGCTGAGACCTTTCTGGGTGCTAGCATTTTACACTTTACATATATTAAATCTCACAATGCCCTGATCCACTAGGTACTGCTGCTAATACCCCCATTTTACAGATGAAGAAAAGGAGCCACTTCAGACTCCCGTTCCCAGCCCCTTACACCTGGCACTGGCTGAGCAGGCAGTGTCTTCTTTGGATAATGCATCTCACCAATCTTTTGTTCCTACTGTTTTCCTTCCCACCAGCCTAGCAACTGAGTACATTTATTTTGGTACAGCCAGCATTCAGGCTTTACATGGCCTGAAAAGTTTATTTGGTGAGTATGTAGATACATCTATATTAGCCATCATGCAAATGGAGCCAGCCAACAAAGGAGAGTAAGCCAGATATCAAAAGGAAAAGCATAACATTTATTTCAAACCTAGTTCTAGCATCGGTCTATGTGTCTATTCTTTTAAAAATGCATAAAAAATACAATCAAGTGAAAAAATCAAGTTTTCTAAATATAATTCCAATCCCATCCTTAAAATTATGCTATTAGTTGAGCTGACCAGGGAGGAGATCCTCATGACTCAAGAATCACCATGTCTGTTTGAATTTTGCACCCATAATCCCCTTGAAGCCTTCTTCAATCTATCACACTCTTCCTCAGGCACATGTGGGTGCCAAATAGGTCACTACTGCTTTCAAACAATCCTTACAGATAAAAACAGTACTATGCAGTTGTACCTTGGTTTCCATGAAGGAATGGTTCCAGGATTGTCTGTGGGTACCAAAATCTTGAGGTGCTAGTAAGTCTCTTCTGTATACTGGAGTAGTATCTTGCACTTGGCTTGTGCAGATCTTCTGTATACTGTAAATCGCTCCTAGATTACTTAAAATACCTAACACAACGTAAATGCTATGGCAGTGGCTGTCATACTGTATTGCTTAGGGAGAATAACAAGCAAAAAAGTCTACACATGATCAATAGATATGAAGTATTTAAAAAAAATTTCCAGTCTGCAGTGGATTAAATCTCTATATGAGAATCCGTGGATATGGAGGGTAGCACCAGTCTGTGGTTTATTGCTAATAGTTCTCTTAAAGAGCCAGATAGCTAATTAGTAAATCACCCTAACGAAATACCAGATACTATGTGGCAGGCATTGTACAAAGTCATATATATATATATGCTCTTTTTTTTTTTTTTTTTGTACCAAGGATTGAACTTGGGACCTTGTGCTTGTGAGGCAGGTGGCAGAACCACTGAGCTAAATCCGCAGCAAGCTCTTAATCTTCGTAAAACCTTCACAAGGTCAATGCTATCAGTGTCTTCCTTTGAGAAGAGAGAAACTGAGGCACTGAGGGTGTGGGCTGCTTCTCTAGAGTTTCAGAGTCAGTATACAGTAAACTCAGAGCACGAGTTTGGAGGCCAAAGTCTGTAGTGTTCACTGACTGATCTAATTGTGGCAAATTTCACAAAGACATCCACTGTGGGTCCCCAACTGTCAGTCGTCTTCAATCAATATTATTCCCTCAGGCAGAATGGGCCTGTCATCCATTCTCTTTAATAAAAGCTGTAATTTCTCTACCCCTCCCAGACATTATAACAGACTAAAGTCTCTCTTACAGTCAATGAACCATGTCCTAATTGTCTCCAACAAATAGGCTCTTACTAAACAAAAGCCAATTAGAAAATTGCTTTTGATTTTCAATGATTTGCTCAAAATTAAAAGGAGTAATTATATTTTAGATGAAAAATCTTGTAGTTGGGGGTAAACTATGCCTCTTCTTTGTCTCCCTCTCCCCCCCCTCAATCCCTCCCTCTCTCCTTTCTTCTTTCTTTCCTTTCAACTTTAGGTATCACTTTCCTATCCTCTCTTTCTTGAACTGACTGTTTTCTTTTATTTTCTTGATTTTAATAGTCAGTGAAATAATTTACAGCCATGAATTTTCTATATTGGGAAAAAGAAAAAATATTATAGGCCAAAATACATGTACGCTTTCTGTACTGTGACAAAAATACTCTGAGAATCCAGCAAGGCGAAGAGCTCCCCCCACCTTTCTTATTTATGAGATGCTCTGGGTACAGATTTATTTTCTTTTCTTGTTCCATGTTATTTTTTTCCACCTATCTTAAAATGGGAGCTGCAAGAGCTTTGATAAATAACTTGAAATTTCCCTTGTTTTACTGCAAAGCCCGTGTACCTCTACATCCTTCTGAAACGTCATTTGTTAGTTCCTACACAAGTGCTGCTCTGTGAATCACAGCAGACAGTTCTCAGCCCCGAGAGTAAAAGGAATGGCTGCTTCTCTTTCCAAAGCACCAAAGTCTGTCACTTGAAGAATGTGGCACCAACCAGAGGGAGACACCACTAGTTATTTTATGGTGGGCACCCCGTGTGCGGTTTGCTATCTAGGTCCTGGAAATCAGTTTCTCTTCTGCTACCCACAGGCCAGTTTTATGTTTTAGGCTGAATTATTTCAACCATACATCTAGGGAAGGTTTTAAGCTTTAAGACAGAAAATCTCTGTGTCTGTTTGGGTCATACACCACAGTAGAGAAAGGGGTGGACTGTAAATATAACCCTTTATTTCATAGATGAGGAAACCATGCTTCTGGTGAAGAGAGGTACTCAAAATTTGTGTGGGCATTCACCTCCTGCAAAGCAACAACTGCTGGCAACCACTCCCAGAGTCTCTGACTGGTTATACTGGGGGTGGGAGCCACAAATTTGCATCTCTACCAAATCCCCAGGTGATGCAATTCTTGTGGCGGATGCAGTTCTCATGCTGAGACCCACTAGAGGACAGAATGACGCATCACAACTGACTCGGGTAACATCGAAGAAGATCCAGAACTCTTGTCCACCAATTTCCTGAATCCCACTTGGCACCCACTCCATTGTGCTCTAACTCACTGGTTAA